GGGAGAGGGAGAGGGAGAAGGTCGGCCGGGTCCTGTGCTGGGAGGGAGGAAGGCAGGCGGGCAGGCAGGCAGGCGAGCCCTCGTGGGCCGGCGGCGCCTCTCGCGCCCCTTCGAGCAGAGTGCCTCTGAGCATGGGCAGAGGGCCCTTTCTCCTCACCAGCAGCAGCAGCAGCAACCCTCTGCTGGGAATCAAACCGGGGGAGAGAGGAGGCTCCGGGAGGGCTCTCAGTGTTGTGTGTGTGTGTGAGTGTGTGTCTGACTTCACTCTTACGGGACCTGGACTGAGGGGTGTCAGTTCTTCTCATCCTCCCCCCCCTTTTTTGGGGGGTTCCCGTGGTGTCTCTCTTTACACCGTCTCTGGGCTTGCCAGGAAGGAGGAAGCCCGGGGCCAGCTGTTTTGGTAGGGTCCCTTCCAGCTCCGCAGCTTTCTCCTCACGAGCAGCAGCAGCAGCAGCAACAACCACCCTCTGCTGGGAATCAAACCGGGGAGAAAGGAGGCTTCGGGAGGGTTCTCAGTGTTGTGTATGTCTGTCTGACTTCACTTTACGGGACCTGGACTGAGGGGTGTCCCTGCTTCTCATCCTCCCCCCCTTTTTTGGGGGGGTTTCCCGTGGTGTCTGTCTTTACACCGTCTCTGGGCTAGCCAGGAAGGAAGAAGCCCGGGGCCAGCTGTTTTCAGGCCTGAGCCGTGGTTTTGGTAGGGTCCCTTCCAGCTCCGCAGTTCAAAGGTTATTATTGTTGTTATTAAAGGGCTGCGTGTGAACGAGAGAGAATAAGTTTGGAACGGACACAGACAGAGGGACCTGCTTCTATATCCCCATTCCCCACTACCTACCCCCCAAAACCCCCCTCACTCTCTGGGTGTAAGGAATGTCCCTCGAAGGGCCAGACCAGTTGTGTGAGTTTCCCATGAAAGAAGAGGCGTAAGTGATTCCTGGAAGTGAAGGGAAGGCCGGGGGTAAACATGTCTTCAAAAGGAGAACGGAGTAGGCAACCCAAAGAAGAAAGCGCCCAGAGAAATCGGGTGGGTATGTGGTGGCCAGGGAGACCTGGCCTCTAAGATGAAAGTGGGCTGGAAGCAGTGAAGAGGAAAACGGGGAAAGGATTTGTTCGCGGGCTTGAGAGAAACTCAGTAAAAGCAAAAGTGAAAGTCTTCTGACATGGTCTGCTTTTTAATGTATGCATTTCCGTGTGAGCACACAAACATAGAGAGAGAGAGGAGCGGGGTGAAAATCAACACAAGGAATATAGGGCAGCCTGGCAAGCAAGTGCATCTGTTGCCGTACAAGTGTATTGAGAGCGCAGAGGGGTTGGAAAGGTTCATTATGATTGAAGACATGTTTAAAACTGTCCTGGGTGCCAGCAACTTGTCTCAGCAAAGCCAGTATCATCATCATCTTCCTTCCAATTCCTACTCCATCCCCTCCGCATTTCCTTGAAGCCTTTGGCACAGCCCCTTGGTTTGTTATAACCATGTCCAAGAGACAGGTAGCTTGAACCGGACTTCCTCTCCGCCCAGCAGCCTCTGCTCCAACCCCACATCTCCGTGTTCAAGTCCAGGTTGTAAAGATCTTGGCCAGCTTTAAAGGACCGTAGATGCTCACGGTACTCTATAAACAAGTTATGCCACCTGTTTGCGGACGAGGCATGAGTAAGAAAGGAACAAATCAGCATATTTTTCCTCTGCTGCTCACCCGTGTTGGATTTGTGTCACAGAGCAGTAAGTGTTGTTTGTGCTAGCACAGGGAGCTTGTTTGTGCTGGAAAGGAGCAGGAGTATTCCAGAAGGAACTCTGCCTGTGGCATTAAAGGGAAAGATCCGGGAAATGGTGCATAATAGACTCGAGCTGCAAAGTTGAGTGATTCTTAGAAGTTGACGTAGCCGTCAGTGAGGCAAGCAGCTCTTAGGAGTGGATTTTTCCTCCAGATTGTTATGGTTTTGATCCAGGTGCAAGTGGAGTCAGGAATTCTGGCGCTGAGTTTGTGCCGCCACCTCCTTTTCGCCTTTTCCTCTAGCTGGGGAAGCCCCCCAAGGGCTCGAGGTCCAGCTGAGAGAATGCTTTGGAAATGCCTGGCGCTGAGTTTGTGCCGCTACCTCCTTTTGGCACTTTCCTCTAGATGGGGAAGCCCCCCCGAGGGCTCAAGGTCCAGCTGAGAGAATGCTTTGGAAATGCATTTGTTTCATTATGGTCTGTGCCTTGTTTCTTTTCCATCTGTGGTGGTCAACACCTGCCTACTAACCCTGTGGGCGGAGCAGAAGTGCTGCTGAAGTATCGCAAGTGAGCCTGCTTTTAACTGGCAAGGTAATCATAGCCTCCTTTAAAATCCACACTGCAGAGAAATTGAGTTCTTGGCCTTTAGGTCGTGGCGGAAGGAGTTTCCAGTAGAGCTTTTATGCAATTCAGGAAAACCCTGCCTAAACTCAGTCCTTGAACACAGTTTGCTTGGGAGGAAGGAAGCAATCATAACATAAAGGGAACTGCCTTGAGACCACTGCTGAAGCTTGTGTGTTGAGGTTGCAATCTGTAAGTAACACTCACGTTGACCTCTTAGCGTGGCTCCATTTCTGCATTGATGCTGTGAGGTTTCCTCCTCCTTCACTTCACAACTTCGCCAGTATTTCAGCTGTTCTTTTCAGCTTACCCTGGTGAACAGTCTGCAAGGATTTCTATTTAAGTTTTTCTCCTGCCCCTTCCTCCACCAAATCTGTTTTAAAGGCTTGCTTCCTAGCCAGTTCATGACTGGGTTTTTCTGTCTTGCCCCTACCTGTGAAAGGGGATTAGAGGAAGACATAAAGAAGTAAGCCTTCAACATATGGCCACCGTCTAGGTTTTCCCTGCCTGAGGTGTCCCATGTAACTGGAGCAGTGAGATTTCAGCTGCCTGCCAGATATGGGGAAGTCTAGCCAAGGGAACAGTCTGGGGTTTTTTAATCCTTGTTTTTCTGTGCTTTTCAAATACTGTATAACTTTGTAGGTGATTTCTGGGTGGAGTGGGCACCGGGAAAGGAGCCCGACCCTTCTTATTTTTTTTCCCTGGAAGACTTGAGAAGGGAAGCCTGACGCCCTTTTTCCTTTCAGGGTTAGAAAACGTAGGTTGCTTTGTGTATTATTGTGTCTGTTGGAGGCCTGAGTGGAAGGGAGTGTGTGAGCGAGGAACCGAATCATGACAGCTAACGGGCATGTGCTTCCTTTTCCATAAGGTTTGAGAGAAAGTGGGTCTCCACTCCCCTCCCCATGCCTGTATGAAAACAAGCACCGTTGTGTGATTCTACTGTTTGGACAGGTGTCAACATGGAAGCCTTAGGTTCAATAGGCGGCTGTCTACAATCCCGTACAAATTGTCACGTGCAAGCTATCAGTCGTCGCTCTTGGTTGTGTGTGTCAGGGTTGGCAGTCTTCTCTTCTATTTACCATTATACTTACCATCCAACCATATATATGGCAAGTATAATGGTAATATATTTAGGTGTCGTGTCTGGTTAGTTCCAGCCCCACAATTCTGTGGATATCGGTCTCAGTATAGTGGTGCAGAATATCGTAGGGTAGCCTTCCCTGAGCTGATGGGCTTCCCGAAATCCCCAGCTACTTGAAGTAGCTGTTGGGGAGTGATATAGAAGTGAGATCTTTTGGTTTTGTGAGGGGGAAGGGAGAGAAAGAGAGAGATGTGTTCCATTTCTTTTCTTTGTTCCTGTTGGGCAGAGTTAAGTTTCCCCTCCTAAGACCTGTAGCTACTAGACATTTTGGGGGAAATTACGCCAGTCAGGATCTTTGAGTTTCTACGTCTTCCTGACAATGAGAGAGTGGGTGAGCCAGCATCGCAAAAGGACATAGCGTACAACAGCCCTAATGTGGAATTGAGAGCAACCCAGAGGCCTCCTTCCTCCTCTGGTCACTCGACAGCGCTTCTTTCTCTTCCCCATGCAGGCAGGAGGTGTTAAAAAAAGTTCTTAGTGGGGGCCAGTATCTTATTGCTAGTCCCAACCAGAGTGGACCCATGGACTTTATGGAAGGTACATACGTGCAGGGACATTTTTCAGCAGTTGATTAAGTAGGTCTCTTCATTGTTGGGACTAACATAGAATACCGGCCACTGACGCCTGGAGACTCTCTTACAAAAAGCTGCCAAAGGCCTTGTGGCTAACAAGCTTTATTGGTCATCTGAAGTTGTGGGTGGCTGCCCATGAATGCTGATAAAACCCATAAAACTTGTTGTTCTTTAAGGGGCTTACAAGACGTCCCGTGGTGGTTTTTTTTTTTTTTGGCTACAGCTTTCATTAGTTGCAAAAGCTATTTTCTCACAAGAGAAGTGGGATTCTGCGCTTTGTAGTCATAGCCGTAAGACGTCCCATGGGTTTTTTGTTTGTTTGTTTGTTTTTTGGCTACAGCTTTCATTCGTTGCAAAAGCTATTTTCTCACAAGAGATGTGGGATTCTGCGCTTTGTAGTCATAGCCGTCTGGAGAGGAAGTGGCACCCAAGAAGCAAACTTTCCTGGAGAAAAGTGTCACGCATGAGATCAAGTTCAGATACCCCTCAGTCGTGAGTGTATATGTACACACAGGCACACTAGTGCAGGGGACGGGGTCTCCTCTGTTTCAGTTAATGTGTGCTTTTAGGGGCAAGGGGAAATGACGCTTTTGACTCTCACCCGTCAGGCGCTGATACTCCCAAGTGGATTTATTTATTTATTTATTAAATTTATACCCCACCCCTCTAGACCATGTCTACTCAGGGCAGCTCAGCTTATAAAATAAATCAATATAAAATATATATAATTATAAAAAATGCAATTGCTATATTAATTAAGACAATTAATTTAAGAAAGAATTGCCAAGATGGGGTAGGATAAAGAAAGAAGAAATAAAAAGACTTAGCTGACTGGAGGGAAGGCCTGTCTAAATAGCCAAGTTTTTAACTGTCTTTTAAAAACACCCACCGAGGGTGCCAGCCGAATTTCTGTTGGAAGGGTGTTCCACAGCCGAGGATGTACTACAACTCTCTACTGCTCTGTTTGTTGAAGGGAGAGGTGGTGCTCCTTCCTTTTGCAGGCAAGGGCACCCTGTACACCAGCGGAATCAGTACCCCTTGGGTGGCCTTTCCAGGACCAAGATCTTTTCAGATAACTGTCTGATGCTTTTGCTCATGGGTGCATCCACTGACCGGCTGCCATCTCCCCACTCCCAAATTAAAATTAAGGAGAAGTTTCTTTAGAACCTCTGGGCATCTAGAAGGAACAGCAGAGAAGGCCAGGAATATAAGGGGGAAAAGAAGAGCCAGCCAGCTCTTAAAATGGATGGAACCCCAGGAACGCTCAGCCCTGGAGAGACATGGGACCCTTGGAAGTCACTTAATAAGGTTGAAGACTGGCCTTGGCAGAGAACCTGAGAAAATGGAGGTTTTGCACCAACGCAGTTCTTTGTGAGTACAGACAAAAAAGCCAAGCAACTACAGTATACACCTCCGTCTGTGTCTTCTGTGCCCTTTAACGCACCCACTGGGAGACGTGATGCCAGCTGCCTCAAATCCTCTTGATTTTGGCCCCCCCCCGCGCCCTTTAACGCACCCACTGGGAGACGAGATGCCAGCTGCCGATAACGGGCAGCAGTTATCAGATCTATCTATTAATTGTACTGTGGTTGCTTATGACATGACCCCCCCACACACACACACAGAGGGAGAGACCCAGACCCAGACCCCGCCTCTTCAATTTCTCTCTCTCCCTTTTTGTTGGGAAAGGATAGACATCTTGGCTTAAGCAGTGTTAGATGTGAAATCATGACCTCTGTCGCCGTGGTCCTCGACATCCTTTTTGTGTAGATGCAACAGTCGGGATCAAGTGCAGTGAATGTAGAAAGGTTAAAAAGCGGGGTGGAGGTGGGGGGAACATGTCTAACCAATTCCAGTGGCAGGTTTTCATGGGCAATGATGAAGACTATCCTGGTTGGCAGGGAAGACACCTTTGGGCGTCCTAATTTGTAGTCTTGCCCATTGGAACTGGTTTTGTGTTTCTGTCTGAGAACTGTTTGGAAAGTACTTAAAGGTATGTCGTTGTGGCATCACAGGACAACTGTATAGGAAGTCTCGTCCTGTGTATTGTCGCTGCCTTTTTGCGTGGCTGCATTAGCTTTGATCCCTGTTGGGTTGTGGGATGTCCTGCTTGAAACGTCTCCTTTTGTGGCAAGATCAGCGTGTGCTTTCAAACTTTCTGACCCCTACTAGACTTGATCCTGACGCCGCTCTTCCGTGGGGTGAGATGAGGCCAGTCTGCCCCATAGGGTGGATTTTCGCCTGGGATGCTCCCGTGTCCCTCGGCTCCGTCCACTCTGGCTGCCCTGTATCCTCCTCGGCCTCTAATCCTCCTCCTCCTCTTCGGCCAAGCCATCCAGCGGCTGGCTTTGGCACCCTCGTGCTTGGACTCAAGTCTCCTGGCCGGCTTCCCAGTCTCCAGAGGCTGGTCTGGCTAATTTTGGAAGAGCAGCTATGTTGGGCAGGAAGGTGCTGGCTGGAGGCAGGAGAGTTTTTTTTTTTTTTTTGCAGAAGCCTGTTGGGGCACTGGAGGGGCAGCTGCTGGGCGCGCGTGAGCGAATGAGCAAGATCCTTGGGTCCATGCCCATCCTGTTGCCCTTGGTAAGGAGGAGCACAGCCTTTTGTGGAAAAGGAGCAGGTGAAAGGCAAAAATAGACCCGGAGGGGAGGGTAAGGGAAGGAGCTGCCGTCCACTCAGTCCTCCCCTTGGCTCGGATCGAGTGCTCCTATCCACTCCGGCTGGCAGCTGACCTGCCTGGCCTCTGCCTTCGTCAGCTGAAGAGGGTTTGGCCTGTTCAGGAGCCCAGTCTGGCAGGTGTTCTGCCCGCTAAATTACGGTTCTGCCTCTCTTGCTCTCCTCTCCTCCTCATCCCTGCCTCCAGAAGGCTTTTTTTAAAAAGCAGAGGTTCCTCTGGAGCTACTCTCGGAGAAAGCGGCTTTGGTAGAATACAGTGCCCATAATCCCCCAAACAGCAAAGCTGCTGACCCTGGAGTTGTAATCCAGAAATATTCCATTCCCCAAGCCCTGCTCCAGAGGCATTGCAGGGAAATCTTTCACAGGACCCGTTCGGCCTCATTATAAAATGCCTACCCAAGATATTAAACTTATTCAGGAGTTAGTGCATTGCTTGTGCAGGAGCGGGAGCACCAAAGTACATACCATATCTTTCAGTGTATAAGACTATATGTACTTTTGTCTAAAATCTTTAGAAAAAAAAATTGAGGGTCGTCTTATACATGTCAGTAAGCTGAGGAGAGAACAAAAACAAGTGGAGGGGAAAGCAGGGATCAAAGCAATCCTGCAGGTATTTGATCCCCTTTCCTCTACACTTGCTAAGCCCCTCTTAGATTTCTTACTTTTGGTTTAGAAAAGTGGGGGCGTCTTATACACAGAAAAATATGGTACTTCACTTTGAATCCTTTTTCCATGTCTCCCTTGGCATGACATCAGCCACTGTGATTCTTCTTGCGTGTTTCTGGTGGCTTAGAAGGCTGTCTGGTAGCTACTGTTCCACCCACTTCTCTTTGTGGATGCAGATCAGGTAGGATGAATTAAGCATTTTTAGGAAAAGGACAACTCGCTGTACACAATCGGGAGAGTTGTCTGTCACCTGCTCCGGAACGGGAGAGCCCATAGCTGAGAGGTAGAGCATCAGGGGTGCTCTCAGAAGGCTCCACATATCGAACCCTGCCCGCATTTCTAGGTAGAAGTGGGAAGGAAGGGCTTTTCTTTCAAGCCCTGGAATCCTCGATCCCAGTCAGCAAAAAAGTGCTGAGCACCCGGCGTATAGGACAGCCCGCTTCCCCTTCTCAGTGGGATCTGGGGTTCTGCCATGAAGTGCAGGTGGATGGCCCTGGAATAATTGTGTCCCCCAGAGGCCATAGGTAGTGTGCATAGCCCCTCACAGCCCTCGGTGGTGATTCTTGGTGTAAGCAAGCAGTAGATGGACAGCAGAATTTGGAAGTTTAATTATTTGGGCTACGACTCCCAGAATCTCCTGTGGCCACATTGATTGGAGATTCGTAGTTAAGAAGAAGAAGCCACATCTTCTCAAGCTCTGGTGAGAAATGCAGATTTTATCTATCTATCTGTCTATCTATATGTTTACACACTCACAGAGCCCATCTGGCAGGCAAGGTCACTCTGGGAAGCTAGAAATTTGGGACTTGTTCCGCATCAAACTTTTGCTTATTTGCTTTAGCCCGAGGTGCGCAGCTTCAGGTGTGTCGCTTCCACAGCATTGCTGAAAATGCAAGCCCCCGAAGAAAGTTTGCCAGTTGCATTGGAGGGCAGGCTTCATTATGACTCTCTCAATCCCGCCTTTCCCCCTTTTCTGCTGTCAAAGTAAGGCTCTGCTTTGCCCGTAAGAACCAAGCCTGCACAGAAGGAAACTCTGCGTTCTGTCCAGCCAGTTCTTCGGAGGCTGCGCAGAGGGACACTACTTCTTCCTGCGAGACATCCCTCGGAGTATAAATGAGCCAGTGCCTGACTTTGGCCAGGCCTGGGTTCATTTGCTCCTGGCGGTATGTGGAAAGCATTGAAATACCTGCTTTCACCTTGGTGGCCCAAATTCCAAGCTTGGACGGAGCCTGTCCATCAGTCGTAACACTGTTCTTCTCTTCTGTTTTCAAAGCGGTGCTCCTGGGACTCCTCAAGATGGAGAGGCCTGCGATGTAGTGGTCCACCCCTGTGTGTTTGCATGAACTGTGCCCTCCCCCCGGCATAATAGGAAAGGACGGGCTTGTGAGTTGCAGGAAGTCATAATGGGTCTCCTTCCCTTTCTTGCGGCTCAATTTGCTAACTTTACTTCTTGGCCTTTATAGGAAGAGCAACTTTCTATCAGAAGGCAATTTAAAAAAACTGCTGGCAATGAAAACTTGGTAGGACTCGGAGCTGGAGATGTTACTATTTGGACTACAAATCCCAGAATCCATCAGCAGGGCTGTGCTACCAGGGGAATTCTGGGAGCTGTACTCCAAACAAAAAAACCAACTCCACCTCCTCTTACACTTTCCAAACTCTACTTCGTCTGTCGGCTCTGTCCCATAGAAGTTTCTCAGAATAGACATTCAGTCTTCAGTATTGAAGTCTGGATTGTCTCCCCGGACACTCAGTTTGCTGCTGCTGCTGCTGCTGTTGCTGCTTAGCTACTGAGTTTGCTGCTGCTGCTGCGGTTGCTGCTTTGGGATCTGGCGCAGTGTTTGTACAGCTGCTGTCTGGCCTACCAAGGTGATCTGGAGGGAGGTGTGCTCAGGGAGCCCACAGTGGATCTCTTCCTGTGAACATGATGGCTTTGTCTTCTGTCTGTGTCTTTTATGGCAGGTGATCCAGTATCAGACGGTGCGCTATGATATTCTTCCTCTATCCAAAGTTTCGCGGGAGCGGCTCAGTAAGTAGGAATCTAATCAGAACAAGTTAGCTTTTGTTCTCTTAACCCAGTGGTTCCGAAGCTTTTTTGAGTCTCAACCCCCTATTATAATAGCCAGTGACCGGGAGGCGCCCACTGCCACCACCACATTTGCATAAAAAGGCATTTTTAATGGAGTGAAGTCATCCTCAGAAGCTAGAGGCTTCTTTCTCCCCTTAAAGGGCCTGTTTCTCATACCTACACATATGTTAATGTCCCGCTCCAGAAGGTCAAGGAAGAAATTATTTCACAAGAGCTACAACACCCATAGGGATGTGGTGGCATTGCGGGTTAAACCGCAGAAGCCTCTGTGCTGCAAGATCAGAAGACCAGCCGTCGTAAGATCGAGTCCACGTGACAGAGTGAGCTCCCCTCGCTTGTCCCTGCTCCTGCTGACTTAGCAATTTGAAAGCATATGTAAAAATGCGAGTAGATAAATAGGGACCGCCACGGTGGGAAGGTCACGGCGTTCTGTATCTAGTCGCGCTGGCCACGTGACCATGGAAACGGTCTACGGACAAACGCTGGCTCTACGGCTTGGAGATGGGGATGAGCACCGTGCCCGAGAATTGGATACGACTAGACTAAATGCCAAGGGGAATCTTTACGTTTACCTTTCAACACCCATACAGTGACCTGCGCACCCCTCAAAAACACGTTGTGGCCCCTTTGGGGGAGTCATGACCCCCAGGTTGAGAAACAGTTGTCTTAAACATACCCAGGGTTGTACAAAAACCATTAAAACAAGAACTTGGGAAAGTCCTTCTTTCATGACTGCTCCCAGAATCCCCCTGCCCAGCATGGCCACTGACCGTGTTATGGGGGCAGGAGGGAGCGGGTTCGGGAAGCCATCGGCCAAAGGGAAAACTTTTCCTGAGTGTTGAGGTCACTGAGATGTCTAGGCTGAAGCGGACCATTCTCGTGCTCGTCCTCGTCAATTCTTAATCGCTTCTCTTCCTTCTCCTCCCCCAGATCAGGTGAAGAGGAAAATTCTCGTCCTGGACCTGGACGAGACGTTGATTCACTCCCACCATGATGGGGTCCTGCGTCCTACAGTTAGGCCTGGCACCCCCCCTGATTTCATCCTTAAGGTGAGATTTTTTTCAGGGCACAAAGTTGCATCCATTGCCGCGGGCTACAGTCAGAGGGGTGGACGAGGGAGCTACAGACTTGAGGGGGGGCACAGGGAGGGCCTCAGGGTTGGGGAGGGCCTCCACACCACAGTTCTTGAGCTACTCACTCAGCTTGTGGTGTAGGCGCACTCTACGTGTGCTCTGAGGTGTCGAACCTCCCGTCATTCAGACGAAGTTGAGCGCCAGCACTGACGAGCTGCATGATGACCACAGCTGTTTTCAGCTCTGGTTGGCATTCTGTTTGCCTGAGGAGCTAAGAACTTGGTGGACGTTCTGTAGTGGTGTATACCGGGGGTCCAGGCTTCACGTCCCGCAGAAGTCCTCCAAGTGTTCTGGGTCTGCCATAAGTTGTCAGCATGAGCTCCCTTACCAAGATGCCTGAGAACCAACCAATATGGAGGAGAGCCATGTGTACTGCCTGGAGCTCAGTCAAGGAAAAGTGGGATAACTACAGTGGTGCCTCACATTACGACGTTAATTTGTTCCAGCGAAATCGCTGTAGAACGAAAACGTTGTAATGCGAAAATAAAAAACCCACTGAAACGCATTAAAACCCATTTAATGCGTTCCAATGGGCTAAAAACTCACCGTCCAGCAAAGATCCTCCATAGGGCGGCCATTTTCGGTGGCTGTCTTACGAGGAATCCGTCCCAGAAAATAGTGGGGAGCCATTTTATTTACCCGGTGGCCATTTTGAAACCGCCAATCAGCTGTAGGAAAATCGTCATATTGCGAAGAATTGATTCCGGAAGCAGGGAACCGATCATCGCAAAGCGAAAAAAGCCTATTTAGACCATTGTTTTGCGATCGCAAAAACGTCGTCATAATGCGGTTTCGTTGTAATGTGGGGCAGTCGTAAAGCGGGGCACGACTGTATGTTGTGAGTAATATGGTAGCGTTTGTCAGTTCTTGCCTGAACTCGACATCTTTTGGACTTCAGCTCTTAGAATCCGTGGTGTTTGGCCCTGCAGTCCAAAGCTTCTGGGAACTGGCAATCCAAAACAGCTGGACTGCCAGCAAAAGCACAAGTTGAGAACTACCAGCCCCAGCTCCTCTCCCTGTTCACGAGCAGAACTGAATCCGAGTGCTAGATTCTTAAGTGAAGTGTGCAGGTGGATTAAAAGGGTGAGGAGTCCTTGTGCGTGTTCACCCCGAAACCTGCTGCCTTATAGATGTCGCACACAGTTCCCGTCTCTCCCAGTCGTCGCAGTCCGTGGTGCTGGGCAGAGATGGGCACGGACTGCCGCTTTGGCAGTTCGTCCCAGTTCGTTTAGCAGCTAGACAAGTGTCCGGCGCTTCCCAGCCCTTGGCTCCACTGGTGGGTGTTCTGCTCAGAGGGAGTGCAGGGAAGTCGGGGCCCTGCCCCTTGAATGGGTTCCCCCCTGGAGGAGTAGGGGCTGGGAAGCGCTGAAACACCGGTTTGGCTGCTAAACGAACCAGCACGAACTGTGAAATGGGCGGTTCGTGCCCATCTGTAGTGGTGGGTCATGAGAGAGAGAGAGACGGTCCGACAGACTCTGGATGGCAGCAGCTTCCTTGTAAAAGGACATGCCCTGCCTGGCAGGGCTTCTCTGTCCCTGGACGTCCTCCTGACATCTGTTCAGACAACCAAGAGGGGAAGCTGTGCTGGTCTAGGGTACTTCCTCTGCCTTGATTAAAACCCCTCTTCCCTCCCTCTCTCTTTTTCTCTCTAGGTCGTCATTGACAAACATCCAGTCCGTTTTTTTGTACATAAGAGACCGCACGTGGATTTTTTTCTAGAAGTGGTAAGAGGCAAGCAGCCGGGTTAACGATACCCCGATTCCTCCGTTCAAATCTTCTGAGTGGGTAGTCGGCCTCGCCAGCCCGGGGGGTGGGGGAGGAGGGCTTTGAGAGTTTCTTGGGCCCCTCCTCTG